AAGGTAATATCTACTGTTCATCCAGTCATCATTACTTGGAGAGTCTTTGGTATATGACTTAGACTTAAACGAGTTTATCGGACTTCATCCAAGAACTCTATTTAGTATCACCAACATAGTCGATGTCGCTTTGCATTGAAGAAAGTGGAAGGATATAGGGTAACCGCCTTTCACATGCACCGGGCTTCAACTCCAAAAAAGATACCCCTGCCATCTTCAACTCCGCCAAGAATTCCGACTCAAACCGTCCCCAAAACTGCGCGGCAGAAACCATCACGAGAGTTTACTGCGCCCACTAACGATGGTATATTTCCGCAGTAACTGAACTTTTTTTTCTTTTTTTTTTTCTTACCTCTTGACTTTGCGAATTGTCAACACAATGCTTCCTCTACGCTTCCTCCGACATCGCTCACCCTTTGCGACCTCTATCCGTACAGCTTCCTCTTGCTCGACTTCCTCCCGCCTCGAGACCCTGGCCAGGTCTCCGATCCGTGTCCTCCGATCCGTCGAAGCTGTCCGTCGCTGGCGTAACCCTCATGTCGTGAATCACCGATCAGTCGGCCTCGTGCCCACTATGGGCGCTCTTCACGAGGGTCATCTGGCATTGATACGCGCCGCTGCCAAGGAGAATCATCATGTTGTCGTGAGCATATATGTTAATCCGGCGCAATTTGGCATAAAGGAAGATCTGTCGTCATATCCTGTCACCTGGGACGAAGACGCAAAGAAACTGGCTGCATTGGATAGAGAACTTGCAGATGATGGAGGAAACCTGGGTCGCATCTCTGCTGTGTTTGCGCCGACGACACCAGAGATGTACCCCAGCGGCTTTCCAGGCCAGGAAGTTAATAGCAAAGGAAGCTTCGTTACAATTACGCCGGTTGGAGAAGTATTGGAGGGTGCTAGCAGACCAACATTCTTCCGAGGTGTTGCGACAGTGTGCTTAAAGCTATTCAATATTGTCCAGCCCGAGCGTGTGTACTTTGGCCAGAAGGACGTCCAACAAACAGTTGTCATACGTCGAATGGTTAAAGATTTCATCCTGCCCATGAAGGTTGTCGTTGAACCCACACAACGTGAACTCGATGGCCTTGCTTTGAGTTCTCGGAATGTGTATCTTGGTCCAAGACGAAGAGCTGTTGCTACAGTGCTTCCCCATGCACTATTTTCCGCTGCCGAAGTATACAACACAAAGGCTTCGCGTAAGAGAGAAGAAATTCTCGGCGCCGCACACAATTTTATCGATGCTACAGCATCCCGCCAATCCACACTTCCTCCCACGGAACGTGTGATCTTCGAGGTTGACTACGTATCTCTGGCAGATCCAGAAACATTAGTGGAAATCGACGAGGTTGATCCGTCGCGCGGAGCAGTCATGAGCGCAGCGATTAAGATGTTACCAGTGGAGCAGACTCAGAAAGGCGAGGACCTGGGCTTCAGTGGAGGTCCAGCGGTACGTTTGATAGACAATATCATCCTCAAGCCCCGAGAGCCTAAGGAACCATAGACGCTGGTAATATGAGAAATGAAACCCAGAAGGTATACCCAAACAGACCTCAACTGTTCAAAAAACGAGCCTATGATATCGGGCTAGCTAGGTGAGGTAAAGAAAAACGTAGAACCTCGACCCTTGCGATATAAAGATCTAAGTCAGTCAGTATACGTTCAAGGTAGCACTTTAGTGAGTTTATCTTGACATCGTATCTCAGGGCCTAAAGTCTTCCTGCTCCCGGAGCTAGATAGGAAATATGCTATTGTATTGACTGGATATATATGTATAAATTCGTATCAGTTGCTACATAGGTTGCTGTAGCTCCAAAAGGCCACTTAATCAAAAGACTGGTCGTGGATAGCCCTTCGCACATATCTTGGACAGAACTCCCCAATGGCTTAAAGATGGGCTCGAGCTCTCTCCTCTCTTTTCTTCTTAACTTGCCTTATACTCTTGCCGAAGGCCTCCTTCTCTTCCTTGTTTAATCTGCTAGGGACCTTGGTTTTTCCGCTGCGCTCACCTTCCACTGTTTCCTCCCAAAGCTTACGGCCGAGCTCATCGGTAAGTCGGAGCACACGGCTGCTAACCGTGGCGCCATCACGGCGGTTTTTGCCTTCACGTCGTGATTTGGCAATCTTTTCGGTAAAGTCCCAAAGTTTGCCTTCCGCTAGCAGCGCTCCAGTCTTGGGATCGCGAGGCGTTCGCCAGGAGGCGTCGAGCTGTACACGCGGAGGAATCTTGGAGTCTTTTGATTTAACAACGTGGAGGAGTTGGTCTTGTTCGAAGCGTGTGTACGAATTCTTCAGAGTCTCCTTATTGACAGCTTCAAAATACGAGAGATCACCCTGATGATAAAGTGTCTTGCCAAGCTAGATATTTTGTGAGCACAATGAAATGATGGGAAACACAACGGTATGACCCAGTGAAACATGTGTATGAAGACTTACCAACTGTGCGCTGTTGTGTGTTTTGCCTTGTTCAATCCAGATCTCTCCATTTTGGCCCAAGGGGGGAGTAAGACCCATAAGAGAGACTGCTGCCAACCAAGTGGCCTCGATGAAAGGCCATATCAGGAAGCAGTAAAAATCGTAGTTCTCTCTTCCAGCCCTTCTCTCCTGGTCCGCAAGACCAACCATTGTGACGTTGCCCTCTCCATCGCGGTCAATCCTGATAACTTCGTCTGCCTCCAAGCCTCGCAGGGTCCGATCCAGATTGGTGTCAAGACCCTCACTCGAAAAGATGAACTCGCCTCGAAACAGTGACGAAAGAAAGTATACTTGTTCTTTCAGCTCATCAAACGCCATGTCTTGCATTTGGGGCCCGCCTCCCCTCTTAACTCTCGAATACATTGCTGCACTGACAAGTGCCTCATAGATGAAGAGATGGATCGTCATGTTGCGATAAAATGACAGCTGAAAGCGGTCGACAGCATAGTATGTAGGCTCAGCAAGACCCTCGACCACACCAACAAGATCTTTGCCGAGAACCTCGAGACCGCGTTCGATGATTTCGGTGAGAGGTGCATTGCCGAAATGGGCCACGCGCCCGCCTTTCGCACGTACACGTTCTGTGAGCCATGTAACTCGCCGTTTCAATTCTTCCTTGCCCACTCCGCGACCGCGGAGTGTCAGAAGAACAGTCCCTATCAGTGCTGTAGGCATCACGACAGACACTTCGTTGATATCGCTCAGAACCTGATAGCCCATCGTGCGCAAAAGTTTCTCTCGTACTGCTCGGACCTCTGGACGTTGATGATCAGTATCGAGACCGCGCGGTACACTGGGCAGTTTTGATAGCTGGTCATCCAAAAACTTTCGTAAGCTCCAAGGCTCATGAAACCTAACATCCACGCGACCCAAGCGTAAAGAAAGGACGGAAGATCCGCCGCTCAGAAAGTCAGCAAGGTTCTCCTTCTTCTTGGGCATTCCAAGTAGCTCGGTAACATAACCCTCCGTCTCAATAACTTTATCGTACTGCGTGCTGACAGGGCATATGATAGCATCCTTAACACGCCCAGATAAAATACTATCGAGTACAAAACTAAGAATTCCAAACTTTGGAGGTAACAACTTCCCTGTACGAGAGCGTCCACCCTCAATGAAGCACTCGAAGTTGTACCCTTCTTGAAGTAGTGTGTCGATATATGACTGGACTAATGTGGTGTAGAGGACATCATCACCGAACGCTCTTCGAATCCACATGGCTCCTGCATGCTGAAGGAATTCGCCCAACACTGGGATGTTCAAGTTGTCCCCTGCGACCACGACAGGCAATGTAAGGCCTAAGCGGTAGCAGATGAGCTGCAGCGAGACGTAATCGACGTGCGATCGATGACTCGGCAAAAAGATGATGCTCTGTTTCTTCTTTGCTGCGACCTCAGCGACCTTCCGCAGACGCAAAACCTCTTCACTGGAAACATGGATACCTTGGTGATATGCGCGCGTCAGTAGCTGTGTGGTCAGATAGTAGGCCCCACGAATAAACGCTTTGCTTTCCATCTTGCATATCATATCGTCAGTCCACTTCTCCGCAAGTTCTTGAAGACCCGACTCAATCTCTGTGAGTCGATGGGCCCGTTTGGCGCCATAGTCTTTGCTGTCCCTCGGCAGCATACCCTCGCGCTCTTCAACAGCCACGCGGTGTTCAGCAAGCCGGCTGATCCTTTGCTGAAGAAGAGGAGCTGATAGAACCATGTTCTTCATGTTTTCTGAGAACCCGGAGTAGAAAACAGGCTGGCCAATGACACGGTCGTAGGCTCGCCATCCTTGACCAGATACATATAATGACACTTCGCGAAGAAATCTGGAAGTAGGTCTCGTCAGTTTGCGCCGAAATGTTTAAGAAGAGCCAATATGTGCGAGAATGGACACGGCGATGATGAAGTAGGGCACGTTACTGGAAAGGTTCAGAGCGGAATGAGGCAAACTTGTCCATCAAGGCCTCTTCCTTTCCCTCGGGAATATTCTTGGATGGCGACTCAACATAGCCACTGGGCTGGAGGGTGACTTCATCACCCAAGATCTGAAGGTCTGGCGCCGAATTGGTCGACGCATCGACCGCGTCTTCGTTATGCGACATGGCGGATGCTGGCTTCTCCAAGCTTCTTGAGTCGAGCGCGTGTAATTGATGTTCAACCGCTCTCTCTCATCGCAAGACAATGACAGAGTCACGTCACTATCCGAGGCAGTTTCGGCTATTATGATACAGATTCCAAGAGCATTGATTGCACTGCAGCTCATTACTATGACAAGTAATAAGGTAAGGTATCCTGGATGGAAGATCCAAGTTGCGACAGGACGGGATTGGCCGAGTGGGGCAGGCATCATTTGACTCTGCCGAGCGGCATGTGAAGCCTGAGGGAAGGAGCTTGGACCGTTCATTTCCCCAGAAAATTGCCTGCACAAAGCTCGGAATCGCGGTATATTTCCGCCCAACAATTTTTTCTAGGCTGTTAATTCTCGACTTACCATACACAAGGTGCCTTAGCTATCTGCGTCACTCATTAACCATGGCCAGCGCACCACAACAGGCTACGCAGAATCTGCTGGCCAGAGCGCATTCCCCCGACAGCGTGAATCGTATATACTCGGAAAAGATCCAGCACCGCTCGCTCATCCTGCGACCAACCTCTCCTCCACCTTCAACAATCAACGCGCGCGCCGCACGTCGGAAGGCTCGTCAAGATAAAAAGGAAAAGCAAAAGCAGAAACCCAAGCCACTATCGTCTCGAGAGAAGCGAAGCTTAGGCCTTCATGACATACCTAAGGATGGCCAAAAATACCACATCTATGAGCCTTTGAGTCAAATGTGGCTTGGATATGCTCGAGAGCTACTTGGGAACGATCTTTCGACTGGAGGGCCCAGCGCAGCAGCGAAACTAGCCAGCGCTGAGTTCCATGGTGCTCCCATCCAGGTTGTTCGAAGCCATTGCCCGAGTCGAGTTGGCATTTCAGGTGTTGTCGTCCGCGATCGCAAGTTTGTCTTCGAGATTATCACCAAGAAAAGAGGAGTGAAGGTTGTTCCCAAGGAAGGCACTATTTTTCGAGTCGAAATAACGATCGATAACGGAGCCTCTGGTGAGAGCGGGCCGAACAAAAAGTTTGCTTGCGAGGTTCTCGGAGATCAGATGATGCTAAGGGCAGCAGATCGCGCCAATAGAAAGTTCAAAGCACACTTTCTGTCAAATATTTAAGCGTCTTCAGGACCGGGATCATAGATTATCGACAAGGCTATCCGGGGCGTTATGGATGACGTCGGCGCCTCCTATGCTGATTGAGTATTTGAAGCAAGACAAATCAATCGGATGATGGCCAAAGTATCATTAATTGGGTACTGCCGTATCCAATTGGGCGTGGTGTTACCACCTACTCTGGGCGAAAGACTGTGTGCCCATCCCTACACATAGGGCTCTTCCAAAACGCATGTGTCTCGCTTTGCAGGCGTCATGATACCACGCTTTTGAGGGGACAAAGGTTGTCAAGGTTCAAGATACACAATTTTGTATCAACTGGGTTGTGATATTTACGCCTCGGTACCGCAAGTTTTTATAGTGTTTATCGCAACCCACACCAGTTGGAACTCACATATCTGACGCCAGCGTTAGCCGCAGTTGTACAGCGACAGTCAGATACAACTCCACGAGAGAGTACGCTCGAGTAGTATTGAGCGACCAACACTCATCAATAGTTTCCATTGGAGGGTGAGTGCATGAAGAATGATTGGAGAGTATAGTTACGCTGACATGAATAGTGTTGGGTGGACTTGAAGGCATGGCAAAATGCGACATGTCTGTAAATAGAATCTAGCAATTCACTCAACGACATTTAATATAGCCATGACGTGGAATCGTCGTCTCGCCGTAGACACAGTCTTTGAGTAGCAGAGCAGACGAGGCAGACTCAGAGAGTTCAGCCTGTCGCCACGCCTCAAGGGGGGGCCAAGAAATGAGCTCATACCCGACGCTGTGACCATCTAGGCAAATGCCATTGCGATTCACGAGAACGTTGGAATACAATGGCCAGAGCCTCCGAACTATTTACAAGTTTCAATTGGCTCATATTGATCTTATTAGATTTCAAATATGAAGAGTAGTATCCTGGTACCTTGTACGCGATATGATCATCCATCTTGTCTTTAGCCCTCCAGTTCTTTCCACGTCCCAAGGGAGAAAAGGTAAGTTAGCATAAGCTTAGGATACCTTTTGCTGAGTCGACACCCTACGGATATATCGAGGACCGATGTTTTCTTGCCCCCCCAGGGACGTCTCATACAAAATTGCACAACGTGATAGTTTCGGTTTGCTTCTTGCTAACCGCATGAACTCCTATAGTTACGCAATTTGAACATGCTACACATCCTGATATAAAGTACTACGAATCTTGACAACTATGCTGATCCATAGGCTTCAGCCCTAAAACATGTCTACATGTAGCTGAGAATTGTGTCTTGTGGCGTGCATACTTGGCAAAGGCTGTAGCCCAAATTGGGGTTTCAAGTTCTGATTCGTGGGGAGGCAGAACGCGTCGCGCTTTTTAACGTGTTGCGTGCGACGTGCCGCTTCTAAGAATGTCATACTCCGTACAGTCCCTTAATGTGTGACGACACGTGACCCTTCGTGTTTCCTATGGTTCCACGAGATACCTTGGGGTACCATTTTTTGATGGTGAAGTGCTACGTCTTTGCCACATTGAATAAACGGATAGCTAGCCCAACTTTCAAACCGGTGTCCACTCGGAGATTGGATACTGATCGATGTATCGAATAGAATCTCCTGACCCATTCGGCTGGTAGCCAATAGTCTGGTGTCTAGTTCGACCAGTTTTCCGAGCTCAAGCCCTGATGACAGAATGTCCAAACTCGAAGTGGACAGTCTTCAATGGCATTCTGCAGTTTGTCCCCATTTTAGGATCCAGCCCTGAAATTCAGTTCAGTTTGCTAGCAGTATAGGCCGGTAAATTCTCGGCCGTAGTCCTGTGTAGCTGCCACTTTGAGTTCTTAGAGCGGGCTGTGACACAACTAACAACTACTACTTAACCCCACTAATCAGAAGCTGCCAGTTAGGTGGCTAGATGACAAGGACAGTGCTATTTGATGAACCCACCAGTAAGCTGTAACCTGAGGGATGGTGTATGGCCACTTGTAAACTTTGGTACCTCACTATCTGATAAATGGTTCCCCAAAACCCTTCCACTCGATTTTTTTCGTTGCCCCGTTTAATAAAGGTCACTCAAACCACAGCGTTTACATCACCACCGCAACATCACACGAAACCCTCTTCTAGTCGGATCCTCGAAAAAAGAAACATCAATCTACCAAGCCTTCACGTCGCGCTCCCCCGCCGATCATAACAATTAACACTATCGTTTACGATATCGCATACCGCATCGCCCTCCGCCTTTGTCTCTGGACCATCGCTTCAAGCAGCCTTTTGTGCTCCGGTATCCTTACCTTGAACTAAAGCTTTTTGCATTACTGTTGCGCGTTCGCTCCAGCAATTTTGCCAACAAGCATTTTTAGTCACAGTACAGCTTCTGGTCACCATCGCTCAGCTGTCACTTGCATCATCCGTCCCGAATCGACCTAAACTCGACATTCGCGCCCTCAACCTGGAACGACCAAGACGTTTCACACTCACTACCGTCTTCCGAACTGTTAATCAATATGCCGACTAATCTTCCCTCGAGCTTTGCCTCGGCTGCCGCTGGCCAAAATGCTAATTCCAGAGGAGGAAGAGCTGATGGAAGAGGAGCTACTTCTGGAGACTGGTTAGTACTCACTTTAGTTCCTACTGAACTGCTTTGTTTCCCGGGTGGTTTTTCAGCGGAGACAGTGGCTTTCTCGAAACCCTTCTTTGGCCTTGGGTAGCTGGACCTGGTATCATGCTGGATGTTGTGCTGCATACCGTGTCCCCCAAATGCCCCGCGTGTAGCCCGTGGTTGTGGTGTGCAATACCCTGTGTGCTGCACAGCGCTTGGCTTGTTTGTCGCGATGGGCGCTTGAGAATCTTCGGGCACCTTCTGCCCTGGTTTCAAGAATAGCAAGTGTGCTTGTCTTGGTTTTAGTGAACCGTATGCCACTTGTGAATATCACAAAATTGCCTGCTACTGTTGCACGGCCCACCACAACTTGTCATGCATTCTCCACAAACTGCATATTGGTTTTCATGAACTATCACTAATTACGTCTCAGGGCAAGGAGAGATGGCCGCTCTACCAATGGAACTCTTACCTTCCGACGATCATCTACAACTCCTTTGGGCCAGCCTTCTTCGCAGCCGCCGCCCTCGACGGATCACGCAGTTCAGCACCCCACTGCCGAAAGCCCTGTGTCTGCGTCTCCATCGACATATGAGCTGCCACCAGCGCGGTACACTAAAGAGGACTTGTTAGAGATGTACCGTCCACAAAGGTTAGCCGACGACCCATCTCGTCTATTTGCCACGGGGTGGAATCCTGGCCAAATGAATGGACATACTCCTAGAGGCTGGGGTAAAAGCAACGACAATCATATCCCACAGGAACCTGGCGCGTGCTGGGATGATTCTGGAGATTCAATTCCAATGGGACTGCAGGATATGTCGTTGGAGGAGAAAGAGGTGCGCCGCCCCCGCACTATCGGAGGTGTTCAAAGTTTATGCTAACCACTAGTAGGCCTTCCATGAGATAAACTCGCCGCTTAAACCTCCGACCCAAAACAAAGACGCCCACCAGGGTGGCGCAAATGGACGTAAAGCATCCTTATCCCAGGGCACTTCCAACACTTTCGGCGTCAGTTCACCTTCGTCAGCTACGCGACCCGGGACTCGCCGACGTGAGACTATCGAATCCAATCCCTTTGGTGGAAGTGCTTTAGCATCTCCCACCGCTAATCGCTTCTCTCGTGACGATCCCTCTTATTGGTTTCAGCGCAGCAAAACCGATCTCAGAGAGGCTGAAGCCGACGAGTCCGATAGTGAGGTCGTTCTCCGTGACGCTCCTGGAAAACTCCCTCCTTTCGGTAATCTGATGCGTTCCAATACGGGCGGTATCGGGGGTACCAATCCCATCTGGCCACCCTCCAACCAGACGACACCTGGTGTAGGAGCCTTTGGTAATTTCGCTCTGCCAACTTCGCCCGCCGTTGGTGACAAACGTGTTGGCGGTGCTGCTAGTGGGAGCAGATTGGCTCATCTCATTCCCAAGGACAGCTCGGATAACCTCAGTGGCAAGGCAGCTGAGGGTCAAAACCCTCTCAATCAGCAGTCTTGGCGGTCTCGTCCTCGAACTGACACCGATCCATTTGGTGATGATACCCTATCTGGAAGCGCGGTTCTTGGCGGAGCTCAGGATACTGACGCTGGTGGGATGTCTCATCAAGCAAACCGAGCAGGAACCCTAGGAACCCCGGTCAAGGGGTCCGCTGGCGACTTCGGCATGGCAGGCCTAAATCTCAGATCCCATGGGGATGAAGGCCCTGTCAGCCCCTCCGAGACCAATCCCTACCGCAGCCCTCCTGCGGACCGACAAGGCCATGATGAGATCGATGCCAATGACGACAAGACTCACGGCGCAAGCCTTCACGATGGCCCTGCGAACTTCGGCTCGATTGGTCGTGGTTTTGGTGGCTATGATGGAGGTGATCGTAGTCAGACCTCGAGCGTTGGCGCGAAGGCCTACCCTTCTTTGAACACTTTATCAGGTTGGCCCGCTTCTGGTAATCCTCCCATTGGCACTCCGGATCGTGAACGACCCAATCTAGGTGCTGCATTCGGTGCTTCTCTTTTTAGTCCTATGGGTGACCTCCAGTCGCCCGGACTGTCCAACCTAAACAATGTCTTTGGCCCCGCCGGCACTGGTGGTCTTGGGACAGGAAGCATAGGCCGCGGTAGCAAGATGGGCTCACTTTTCCCTCCTGCAATGCAGGCACAGATGCAGAGCCATGAGCATGATAGCCTCTCCGATTCTTTGCCCGACCTACGTCAGAGCAACCCTCTCGGCGCTATTGGCCGAACAAACTTTGGCGTACCTCTTCGCGAGGGCGACAGTCCCATGCGAACTAATCGCGGTGTGTTCGGGGCACTTTTCCCGGGTCCTGAAGCCTCCCCAGCACTGGGTATCTTTAGCACTGGGGAACCCAGTCATTCCACCACCACTGCAACTGCTCCTCAATCCCTTACTCCCGTTGGTGGAGGTCTGCCATTTGGTGGTGGACAAG